TATATACTCCTAATGACTACTTGCCTTTTCTACTTTTCATATCTTTTTTCGATCTCAGGTCACACCTCTTTTAGTGTCTTTTCTACCCTACCGATGTCCCTTGTTTACAGACATTTTATAAACCATCCTCCATAGGGTTTACCTCCATGGTGTTTTCTCTCAAATGGAATCTTCAAGAAATTGTACTGGTTCTAAGAAGTTAGGGCCCATTTACTTTCCAGTCTGTCCTTATTCAGTTGCCTTTGACACATCTGGTTCAAAGTGCACTGGAAACTGAGGAGCATGGCTAATGGTAGCTCCTAGTGGGTTGGAATATAAGAAACTACCCTTTAAGGCTAAGTTTGCAAAGTTCATGCTCTAAATGGGCTCTCTAGGGTAACTGTGGGTTTATCATATACAGATGCTATCCTAGAGCAATTCACACATTTGGTGCATTTAGATGTTGCCCCAAAAGGGATACCTAGGGTTGCCAGATTTAGTAAATAAAATACAGGACAACCAGTTAAATTTGACAAACAACAAGTGATTTTTCACTATAAGTATGTTTTATGCAATATTTAGCAAACTCATGACCTAAAAGTGGAACTGACTGACCACTGGGTTTAGTCTTGCAAGAGTTTTGTAGACGGCCCAGAATGGTCTGCAGAATTTCTTTGAGCAGGACTGCAGGATAATTACCCAAATAGAACCTCTCTACACAGCAGCCTGGCTGCCATTTAGCCAAGTGGCACCAAGACAGAAGCACTGGTTGCTTCAACATTGAAATACATACTGGCTGGTAAACAGATGATGCCCTAAGCCTCCCTTGTGTCTACCTTACATCAGCCCCACCTCCTGTCATTCCCCCAAGGAATCCCTGGACGTTCGTTCTCACAATTCAGTAACTAAAAGATAAAAGCTACATGTGACAACATGGATGGACCCTGAGGGCATTATGCTAAGTGAAATAAGACAGAGAAAGACAAATACTGTATGTTTTCACTTATATGCAGAATCTAAAGAAAACTGAACTCATAGAAACAGAACAGATGGATGGTTGCCAGAGGAGGGGTGAGGGGAATGGGTGAAGGCAGTCAAAAGGTTCAGACTCCCGGTTATGAGATTAATAACTTCTGGGGACATAATGTACAGTATGGTGACTACAGTTAACACCATATCTCATATTTGAAAGTTGCTAAGAGAAAAGATCTTAAAAGTTCTCATCACAAGGAAAAAAATTGGTAACTATGTGAGGTGATGGATGTTAACTAAAATTATTGTGGTGATCATTTTGCAATATATACATATATCAAATCATTATGTTGAATACCTTAAACTGATTCAATGTTATACGTCAATTACACCTCAATAAAACTGGGAGAAAAAAGAATTGCACTGAAGAAACAGAAAGAAGTGGTACAAGTCTTCAAATAGAGTTAGGAGGCTACGATTTTGGTCTTACTATCCGAGATGTGACATTGTTCCTCACAGCAAGACAAAGATTCACATGGAGAATATTAAGGTTGATTTGTTTCCTTTAAGTAAACTAATTTCCATTCCACATGCATAACATTGCTTGGGTTGATTTATGCTCCTATAATAGAATCAGGAAATCTAATATTATAGCTAAAAGGAATTTTGTTTCATCTGTTCCTGTTCCTCCCCATTCTGTCATAACACACTTGATAAAGAAACTGAAGCCCACAGGAGTCAAACAAATGCCCAGGGTCCCACAGCTAGTTAGTGGTTGACCCAGGAGTGGAAGTGAGGGAGATCTTCAACTCTTGGTCTAGAGCAGAGGTCAGCCAACTGCAAATCTAGCCCACTGCCTATTTTTGAATGGTCCATAAGCTAATGGTCCATAAGCTTTGAATGGTCCATTTTTAAATGGTGGGGGAAAAAAAATCAAAAGATGAATAATGTTCCTTGATGTGAAAATTATATGAAATTCAAATTTCAATGTCTATAAACTTTTATTAGAACACAGGCACATTCATTCATGTATGTATTCTCTGTGGATGGTTTTGTCAGCAGAGTTAAGTGGTTGCAAGAGAGACTGTATGGTCCCCAAAGCCTAAAATATTTCCTCTGTGGCCTTTTACCAAAAAAAAAAAAAAAAAGATGAATACACAGCTACATAAGGGGCCTTAATAGCAGCACCAGCCCTAACGCCCATAGCCATTCTGATTTGTGGATGCCAAACTCCCACCAATTATTAAACGTTTTAGTTATCACCCCTGCATACTAATGAGAAGCAGCATACCCATGGGAAAAGGCTGAGGAAAGTAACTTCCTGATGGTGACACTGCAAATCAGGTCCAAAATCTAAAGCAGAGAAGTTCTGTCCAACATTTAAGGTTATCAAAGTATCGCACAGTAATATACACCTCTCCGACCTTAGCGTTCAAAGACCCTAGAGGAAAGATGACATTGCAGGCTGGTGTGGTGATCATTAACGGGATGAAAACTCTTACTAAATCAATAGAACCCTTTCAAATGGACATCTTACTTAGAATATCAATATTTAAAACATAAGAGTCAAATTGTACTGTGTGAAGAGGGGGAAAGAGCTTGGGGAGGTGAGGAGCCAAGATCTAAAAACCACTAATGTAGAAAATAATCTAAAGAAACTATCCTAATTTTTAAAAATTATAATTAATGCAAAACTAAGGCACAGAAATATTTATAGATTTTATTATATTAATTTCCTTATTTA